ATATCTATTATACATAATATATGTATTATATATTAAATATATTATGTTTATATATCTCTTATATATATAATATATATCTCTAAGCGTACGTAGATGCATGCATGCATGCATGCCTGCATGCCTGCAGCAGCAGCAGCAGCAGCAGCAGCAGCAACAGCAGCTGCAGCAGCAGCAAGACACAACACTTCTCTGCTGCGACCGCTGCTGCAGCAGCAGCAAGAGGCAAGCAGCACATCTCTACTGCAGCAGCAGCAGCAGTAGCAGCAGCAGCACTAGCACCAGCACCAGCAGCAGCAGCAGCAGCAGCTGCTGCTGCTGCTGCTGCTGCTGCTGCTGCAGGGACAGCCAGGCCGGTCCGCCGCCACCGCCGGTCTTTCTTTTGTTTGATTTGTTTTGAGGAGAGAGAACACTCGTTTATTAATCCTTGCTGTTTATTTATTTTTATTTTTATTTATTTTATTTATTTATTTTTATTTATTTTATTTATTTTTATTTATTGAGTTTATTTTTATTTATTTAGTTGTTTAGTTGTTTTTTTTATTTATTTAGTTTATTTATTTATTTAGTTTATTTATTTATTTAGTTTATTTATTTATTTAGTTTATATGTCTTAGAGAACAGTCGTTTATATAAATCCGTGCTATTTATTTTTATTTTTTTATTTTTTTTTATTTTTATTTATTTGTTTTTTAGTTTATAGTATATGTTTAGATAGAGAACAGTCGTTTATCTGTTTAGTTTTTTTTATTTATTTTTATTTATTTATTTATTTATTTGTTTAGTTTATAGTATGTCACCTTGTCTCTCTTTGTCTCTCTTTGTCTCTTTCTGTCTCTCTTTGTCTCTCTTTCTCTTTCTTTGTTTCTATTTATCTGTCTCATATCATCCCCTAAACCCTAAACCCTAAACCCTTCGTCAACAGTCTAAAAACCCTAAACCCTAAACCCTAAACCCTGACAACGAAAGGGCCCACCAAACGCACAGGGGGCCCCTCTGCCTATCTATACCTAGGGTTTAGGGTTTAGGGTTTCTAAGGAAAACAAAGGGGGGGCCCCTAGGGCCCCCGCTGCTGTATCAGCAGCACACGAGAGACAGACTGTGCTGCGCC